CCGTCTTTTGCGAGCCGGCTAGTGCGTGTCCCGGGGCGCTTAGCCACGGCTCAGGATGCTGGAGTGATTTGTGCTGCCAGGACTCCTGGCTTGTGGTCCCCGGTTTGCTTGCGCTGATCCGGGAATACTGAAGCCAGCGGAGCTGGGGCTGAGGTCAGGGCTCCATCGTATCCTCCTTTCCGAGCTCTGCGCTGCGCCCAGCCGCGGGGGCACCTCTGGGCACAGCAAGGCGTTTTGTGGCCTTGCAGAGGGCTGGAGCCGCATTGCATGACGAGGAGCGGGCCGTTAGCACGGTGCAGTTGGCCAGCTGCGTGTACACCTCTTATCGGGAAGAGCAGCCAGCCTGGGTAGATTTCCCCCAAGGAAATGCCTGTGCGAATTTGGGAGCTGGCCTCTGCCCCGGGACGTCGCCGTGTTCCCAGTCCTCTCCAGACCCGCAGAGAGCGCTGCATTGTGCCTGGGGGCTTTTCAGCACCCCTGCACCGTGGCTGCTGCTCATTTGATGGGTCTAGCAGGGAGATGAATGGTCTTCCCAGCTCCCTGCCTTGGCTTTCAGTCAGTCTCCAGCCTGGGCTGAGTTTGGTTTCATCTGCCCCATGAGTCCTCCCTGTCGCATCTCAGCTCAGGGGACCCAGAAGGCATCGCCCCCCACCAGCCCCAGGGAACCCCAAAAATTCCTGCTTGATTTTTTTTTTTTTTTTTTTCCTACCTGTTCTCTGCTGAGGTCCCTGCGAATGGGAGGAGAAGGAGAAAGTGGCTTTGCTGGCACGCATGATGCACGGGTACATGCATGCCGGTGATTAGAAGGCAGGTAGCAAACACGCCAGAGGAGGTCTGGGCAGAAAATGTGTAAACGGGCAGTCATTAGGGTAACGCCGTGAGTTGACTCCAGACTTGTTGAAGAGATGCAGCCTGCAGCTTAGTGATTTCTCTCTCCCAGGTGTGTGACCTCAATTAAAGAGAGAAAGGTGAGCACATGCAATTGCTCATCATTAGCATCCTCGAGGGTGGTGCGGGCCGGGCTTGCAGGCAGGGAGAACGAGGATATGGTGCTGAGTGCTTGTGATGTTCTGGATGGATCCACTCCTTTCAAGCAAGCTGCTTTGAGTCCACGGGTGCCAGCTTTTCCTGTATCCTTCCTGAATGGCATGGGGGTATTTCACGAGAGTCTTGGCTTATTGATAGTCCCGCTTGGTCTAACTATTTATATAAAGTCCTGGAGATTTGCGGGAGAGCATCCTCGAGTGGGAAGAAATAAAGAGTGCCTTGATGGAGACACGATTCTCCTTTATGGCATGTCATAGCTCTGATCTGGAGATGGGACTTGTCAGTCCCTGCTCGAGACAGGGCATGGCTTGCAAACGGAAACGCGGGGCTGTCACGGCACCGGAGGTCTGCTCCACCGGAGAACCTGCTTCCATTATAAGCTGTTGCTGGATATTGTGAATGTTAATCACGGCACCTTCGAAGCAGCTGAGCCGAGGTGTCGTGCCTTGAAGGCTTCCCGGTGAAATGTCAGCAGTTGATTCCAGCGGGGAGTGGGGTTTGGGGAGAAGTGTAACGCTCAATTATGCTTGCCGTTGCCGGAGCGCTTCACCTTCTTGCTGCATTTGGAGAGCTGACATTAAGTCAGGATATTACACGACGGTGAAACCTTTCACAATTTGGAGGAAGATGATTTCATTACTAGCCGTATGTTGCAGCCCGGATTCAGATTGGAAGTGCCAAGCGAGGGAATTGGGTTTACGGAGAATGTCTGAATCGTGGTTGTGACAATGACGCCCGCTTGCATCGTCAGAGCAGCATGCAAAGGGAAGACAGCTTTCACCCTCCGCAACCAGATGAGCAAACTCTGTCCAAGTTGGCAAGTGAAGTGCAGACTGGGCCAGGGTTGTGGTTTGAACCCGTGTGTCCCCAGGGACGAGACGGGCCCGCTCTGCAGAGGCCGAAGGGAATGGCTCTGTGACCCACTGAAAAACCTGGTCCTGATGCTCTCCTCCATCCACGTCTTGCAGCCGCTGGTCCTGACTCCTATCTGGAGCAACACACCAGCCCAGCTGCCCCCTCCACACCGTCTCCTTTTCCCCCTAGACCACACACCCAGAGCAGAGATGCACAAGGGGCTGTTACAAGTCAGCAGCCCAGATTTCTACCTTTCAAAGAATGCATGAAAACAGCAGCCCGGGGGCTTCTGCAGCAATCTCTCGAGCCTGGAGAGACCCGGGGGGGTTGTTAATAAATAAGGCGATGAACCCAGGGAGACAGCTGTTCGTGATGGGAAAGGGGGGATTCTGCATGGGGATCTCGCGTGGACTCCCAGGAAGCAAATTTTGGAGGGAGCCCTGCTGTGCCAAAGACGCAGGGCTGGGTCTGAGGGATGGGCAGGACGAAGGTGCGTGGGGGCCAAGTGAAACCGGAGCACCGCTGGTTGGCCAAGTGAGAGCCGGCAGCTCGCAGGCCACCCCGCGTGCAGCCCAGACACGCAGCGTGGATCCACTTCGCTGACCCCGGCACATAAAATATGCGGCTTTAATAAAGAACAACACTTCATCGCGCCGGAGCTGCGGAACCGCTGGCGAGAAGCGAGAGCTTTTGAAATGAATGTTTGATAAGGGACCGAGCCAGCGAAATGAAGGTAGCGGCAGGAGGCACAAAGCAAATGAATCATTAAGAAGCTGGAGGGGACGTACCGTCTGCCCTCCCCAGGGCCAGGGGCAGGTATCTCAGTCACTGGCTGACCCGGGTGTTACCAGCATCTCTCTCCTGTTTGGCAGTGATGGGCTCAGGAGAGCCTGAGCGAGTTGGTGCAAAGTGAGGTCACTTCATTAGTAAATGGGCACCTAGGTTGTGGTGGGTCAGCAGGGAGCACCTCTGCGCCGAGCCACCCACCTCACTGCACCCGACCACCTACCGGGCTTCGAGCATCTCCCTGGGGTGCCTCACGTCCAGCTGATCCCCTTCCTGGAGCTCACCTGCAAGCCTGGGGTCACCGCTGCCACCACCCAGGAGTCTCGGTCTGTCCATGGCCCTGTGCCCCCTGGGATGCACAGGCCTTGCAGACCTTGAGGGTGCTCGACCCACTGCAAGACCTTGGGATATTTCCCGTGGCCTGGAGCCCGAATAGTAGCCTCCCTTAGTCAGCCAGGCATGAAGGCATGCCTCTTATCCCTCTCCCAATGACTCCACCACACTAGGTACAGTGGAGAACTTCAGTACTGGTTAGAGAGGGGGCTTGGCGGAGGACTCGGGATAAGGAGGAGTCACAGAATAACCTTACAGCAATCAGCGTGGCTAGGTAGCCATTGATTATGCATCTGCTGTGCTACAAGCTATATATCTAGATAGGTTTCAAGTAGCTTACTCACAAGCATCGTCCAGAGGCTGGCTGAGCTTTCCTCTGGAGGCAGGCAAGTCGATGTGTGTCCAGTTTCAAGAGAGAGGGAGAGATCCCCCTCTCCCTGTCTGGTCAGTTGTCCCATGCTGTCCAAAGAGGCTCTCCCCCTCCCCTCCTGGGCAGTTTGAGCTTATACAGCCCTTTTGGCATTACCACCCCAGCCAGATGTTGTTGGATGCTAGCCGAAATGCATTGCTGGTTACCTGGAAGAGTGACAGGCGCTCCTGCCCCCGTGCCAGGAGGTCACTGCTAACACAATAGAGAGGTGGACTTACCTGTAGCTTCTCATGGCTGCAGGAGCAAGTTCCCCGTCCCCCGGGAATGTTTCCAGCCTGGGTCATAATTCGGTGCTAAATGAAACAGATGAGGGGGGAGGGCTGCCTGCCCACCGCAGCGACCGCAGCAACCAAAATGACAGACAGGTGATAAAACAATGGCAAGGAAAACCCCGAGAGCAGAGCTTGGGAAGATGCTGAGATGGCATTTTGCCACATAGGCGCTGTGGGAACGCTTGAGACCCCCAAGCCGTGTGTCTGGCACCTCTTACGCCCGACCAGCGGTGATCTCAGGCCGGTCCCTCAGCCTGACACAGTGCACGTGCTTCAAAAGTTGGGGAGACTCCAGGAAATGCCAGACCCCCGCAGAAAGGCAGCGAGGTGCTGAGAGCGACTTGAGTGGGGCTTGCTCTGGAGAGCTGCTTTGGGCAGCGAGCCTTTGGGAACAGCCCGCGAGCGCCTGAGAGTTTATCCCCGGGGGGCGAGGTGGGACCGGCATGTCACGCGGGCGCTCACCAGCTGCAGCGGAGCGAGGCTGGAGCTTTGCAAGATGCTTGCAGCTCGCGCTTCCCGTTGCAGACCCACCCCAAACGGGATGGATGTCTGGGTGGCCCCATGCAAAATCAACTGTAGGCCCCCATTTGATGCCTGCTGGCTCTGGGTCTCCCCCCTTGCTCCCGCGCTCGGTCCCCTGCCCAGCTTCCCTGAAACCCGTGTGGTGCACGCGGCTGCACCAGGACATAGAAGGGCCTGAAGTGGGCCAGCTCCTGGCGTCCTCCCCACCGGCTGGCGCTGTTTTTTAACTCCAAACCCCTTTCCGAGTCAGGCACTGAAGCTTTCTGCTGGGTCCAGCTACTCCGGGGGTGGGGCTTTGTAGTGGCAGGGTTTAAGATTTGCTGGTGCAATGCTGGCAGAGGTCGGGCCAGGAGAGGGAGGTTGATGGGGGAGGCATGACCCCCTCCTGCACCACCCTGTAACATGCAGTCTGTCCCCGTGGCCATCAGGAATCACAGGGTCCTGCTAACGAGCAATCCCCAGTTGAGGCTCTCTCCTCATCCTAGTGCGGTGAGTGTATGCTGAGGGGCTCCAGCCAGGTTTCCCCCCAGTGCTAGCTTGGTCTGAGAAGCACGCTGGGGCAGTGCGTTAGCTCATTGCCCCAATAAACAGTAGCGATGATGCCCCAAGAGCATCCTCGCTCTTTATCATCCAGCTCCGTGCAACCTGGCACACGGGAGCAGGGTGGCACGAGGGGGCAAGCCTGAAGGCAGAGAGCTCACGGGAAGAGCTTGTCTGTGGTCCTTCTCTCATCCTCCCTCTCTTCTCTCTTCCAGAATAAAGTCCTGAACGTGGACGGCGTGAAAGTGAAGCTGCAGGTAAGCGCCCCCCAGGCCTCTGCTCAGATGAATTGTCCCTTGGATGTGGGGGGCCAGCATGGCTGGTGCTGGGGGACGCACAGAGCTTAGCGGGACCCCTCATTTGAAGTTGGCCGCTTAGCTGCCCATGGGCGATGAAGTGGCTGCTAACGGGACTGATTCAGACCCGTTCCTAATGCTGTGTGTACTTGGAGGCAGCCCCGGTGTCAGCTGTTGGTGCAGTTGCCCTGGGGAGGGGGGTGAAACCCTGACCCTAAAACCAAGTCCGCCTGGTCTGGATCCCTGTCTTCCTTGCTTCTACCATCCTGGCTGACTCTGTGCAGACCAGGTGAAACCCCTCCGTTGTGTTACCCGTTCCTCCTCCTGCATAGCTGAACTAGACAGTTTTATTTCCAAGAGCTCGCGAGTTGCTCAGGTCCCCGGGGAACTGGCTGTGTTCCCGACCTCTGCGCTGGCAGCTCAGTCGTGACACTCGCGCTGTCCTCCCCGGCCCGTTGGGACGTGACGCTCTGCAAGCGCATCCCTGCATTACAACCTGATCGATTCAATTAGCGGGTCCTCACCCATCCATCTGGCCCGGGGGGGGGGTTGGATGAGGCATGCACCATGCCACGTGCTCTTTGTCGGACCCAATCATGTCAGCGCGCGGACGTGCCGGGACTGGCGAGGCGCCTCGTTGGCCTCGATGGCGCTTGTCGCTTTCTTTCGAGGATGATCCCGGTGAACGTCCCCCCCTTTGTCACAAATGAGCCGCTCGGCTGGCAGATGGTTGTTAAAATGAAACACGAGTGCCGCTGTCTCGGGGAACCCGCCTGACACTTGATTTTGTATTGATTTCCTGGAAGACTCTGGTCAGGCTGGCAGTCCTCTCCTCGCCTTTCTGAAGGCTGAGCTGTTTCCACTCCTGCGCTGACAGCTCATGCGCTGCCTGGGCCCAAGCTGCCGGGCTTCCCGGCCCCTCCTCGTTTCCTCCAGCGCATCCCATCGATGCCGATGCTTGCCTGGCTGGGCTGCAGCCCCTGGGCACGGCCACGCAGGCTGTCCCAGGGAGCTGGCGATGTGGCATTAAGCACTTTATGCTTCCTTGGCGGCGACTAAGTGAGCCACCGCCTGCCCTCAGCAAGCCAGGGGCAGCAGGCTCCGTGCCCAGTGGGTCTGGGGGAGTATAACTATTTACAGCCCCCATCACTGCTCATATAGAGCAGGGCGCATGGCAGAGCGAGGGGAGACTGCAACTGCCGTATAAACCCACACCTTGCTCTGCGATGTCCCCGTGACTGTGAGCTGAGCCGTTTGCAAGGGGAGCTTGACTGCGCCGAGGTCCCCGTGCGGCTGGTGCACATTGGGGTATGTCTGACGGGCTCTCCTGTGCTTGCCCTTTCCAGTTCTGGGACACGGCCGGGCAAGAGCGGGTTCGCCGCGGCACCCATTCCTACTACTACCGAGACGCCCACGGTAAGAGCAGCTCCGCGGTGCTAGAGGGATGTGTTCCCTGCAAAAGGGGCTGCGAAAGGCTCCAGGATCCTGACCCTGGACAAAGCTGGGCGCTCACTCACTCAGCGCTGGCTGGTTTGGAGGCTGGTGTGCTCCGGTCACCTCCTGTCCTGCATCCCTGTCACTGTGTGGGGTCGGAGCCCAGATACAACCCCCCCCAGGGGCTTTCAGGCTCCATCCTCCGAAGTCACGTGCAAAGGCAGGGATGAAGCCCTTTAGCCCCCAGCTTTGCAGCGAGGTGGGAGGCTGAGGGCAGGGGGCTCTTGGGCCCTTCAAGACCTGCTCCGTCTGTGGTGCCCCGGGGCACGGTCTGCCCAGCAGCCGAACTCTGCTGTGCCCACTACTCCCAGGGGAGCAAGCCGCCCGTGGTGGGACCTCGGAGGGCTTTGTGACTTGGCACGTGGCCCCGGGAGCCGATACCTGCCACGTTTCTAGCAGCGCCCGAGGCCAGCGCTCCTTTCTGGGTCTGCTCCCCAGCTCGTTGCCATGGGAACAGCTGCTTCGCAGGTTTAAAAAATAAAAAATATATAGGCGTTTCTTGTGCGTTGTTACGTCTGGGTCTCTGCAGCATCAGCCCGGCTCTCCAGCACCCCTGCCCCCCACGCCTCCCGCCATCCGCTCTGCATCTCATGGCAACCGGTGCAGAGCCGGCTCTTGCAATGAGATGTCTCCCACGACCGGGAGCCTTCCTGGGGGTGCCGGAGCCCTCCGCACCGCCGTGCTGCCCCTCCTGACCATGCCCAGCGCCAGGAAGCACTGATCACAGCCTCGCTGCATGCGCGCAGAGGAAAGGCAGCGCTGGCCCCGGGGAGCTGCAATGAGGAGCCAGAGGTGGGCTATGGGAAGAGGAGATCTGGACTCTTGCTTAAATAGACGTGCGGCCTCCTGAGAGTCTCCCGCGAGCTCTGGCTGGGCTGTAGGGAACGAAGCCCCTGCGGCAGACACGGCAGGCTGCAAAAGCTGCAAGCCTGCTGGCCCCCCTGGCTGGCTCGGTTGCTTCTGCCATTGAAAATTTGTCCGTCCACGTGCCGTGAGCCGAGAACCCGTGGCTGCGTGCATCTGCCCTGGGTGCGGGCCCTGGCTATGGGGCACGAGGGACCAGAACGGGGCTGGGGGGGCCCTTCTGCGTGTCTGGCTGGGCTGAGCTGTGCTCCCCAGCGTCTTTGGATGCAGGGAGACTTCCGCTGCCGCTCTTCACCCAGACAAACAAGCCTCCATCTGGCTCTTCTCTCCAGAGCTCTCCAGTGTCCCTGGAGAAGTCGGCTTGTCAGCAGCTGTCTCCAAATCTCTTTCCAAGTGGCTGAAGAGCTTGGCCGCTCCCCGGGGGCCCATCTCCAAGGCGGCAGCTTCCCAAGTCACTGGAGCACAGGCGTCCACTGCATGTGTGAGGCTTGATGGAGATGCATTCCTCCCCTTGCCCGCTGCGCGGGCTCCTACAGGGCCGTTCGGGGTTACGTGACTATCAAAGGTCCTGTTTTGGGGACCTCCGAGCCATGCACCACTCGCAGCTGGGCTGGTGTGGGTCACCGCATCCGCTGCAGACTTTTTGCTGTCTCTGGGTGGTTTGGCTCGCATTTTTCCTTGCCGCGAAGACAGCAGCTCAGCTGATGGGAAGAGTTCCTCCGGTCTAGCTGAGCAGGTCAAGTGCAGTGTGAAAACCTCAGGTCCCGAGTCCTTCCTACAGGGATCGGGGCATTAGCTAGAGTCGACTGCACTGACCTACGGCCCATCTCTGCGGCATGTAGTCAGGGTTCAATTGATGGCGCCTGGCTTCAGAGCGCTCCTGTGACGAGGGCATCTTGCTTCTCCGGAGAAGTCGTAGCTGCTGCCTCTCGTTAGAGATCGTCCCCACAAATCTTCGCTCAAAGATATCTGGTTCCCACGGACTAGGAGACATTTCACTGCCTTTGCTAAGCCAGCTCTGACTGCAGCATCTCAGACACCGCAGATAAATAGCTCCTGCCTGCTAATTGCTCTCTGGAACAAAATATTTGTTTTGGGTGTCTGTAAGAGGCGTCTCTTCAGCCGCACAGTGAAGTCTGATGCATGCGGCAATTAAAGACTTGCTTAGCATAAGGAGAAGGCCTCCTCTGACTGGCGCACGGGTGCACACACATCCGTAAGCTTCCTGGAGACTCGGAGCAGTGACTCTTGGCCCTGTTTATTGTCAGGCAGATGCTCGGAGGAAGAGCAGAGCCCAGGAGACCGGTTTTGCTGGACAAGCTGCAGGGTGCCAGCCAGGGTCTGCCTGCATGGATGCACAGACCCTTCCTCAGTGCTGTCATCTACCTGCATGAATGCACAGACCCCTCTTTAGTACCAGCGTCTGCCTGCACGGATGCACAGACCCTTCCTCAGTGCTGGCGTCTACCTGCATGGATGCCCAGACCCCTCTTCAGTGCCGATGGCTGCCTGCATGGATGCACAGACCCTTCCTCAGTGCTGGCGTCTACCTGCATGGATGCCCAGACCCCTCTTCAGTGCCGATGGCTGCCTGCATGGATGCACAGACCCTTCCTCAGTGCTGGCGTCTACCTGCATGGATGCCCAGACCCCTCTTCAGTGCCGATGGCTGCCTGCATGGATGCACAGACCCTTCCTCAGTGCTGGCGTCTACCTGCATGGATGCCCAGACCCCTCTTCAGTGCCGATGGCTGCCTGCATGGATGCACAGACCCTTCCTCAGTGCTGGCGTCTACCTGCATGGATGCCCAGACCCCTCTTCAGTGCCGATGGCTGCCTGCATGGATGCACAGACCCTTCCTCAGTGCTGGCGTCTACCTGCATGGATGCCCAGACCCCTCTTCAGTGCCGATGGCTGCCTGCATGGATGCACAGACCCTTCCTCAGTGCTGGCGTCTACCTGCATGGATGCCCAGACCCCTCTTCAGTGCCGATGGCTGCCTGCATGGATGCACAGACCCTTCCTCAGTGCTGGCGTCTACCTGCATGGATGCCCAGACCCCTCTTCAGTGCCGATGGCTGCCTGCATGGATGCACAGACCCTTCCTCAGTGCTGGCGTCTACCTGCATGGATGCCCAGACCCCTCTTCAGTGCCGATGGCTGCCTGCATGGATGCACAGACCCTTCCTCAGTGCTGGCGTCTACCTGCATGGATGCCCAGACCCCTCTTCAGTGCCGATGGCTGCCTGCATGGATGCACAGACCCTTCCTCAGTGCTGGCGTCTACCTGCATGGATGCCCAGACCCCTCTTCAGTGCCGATGGCTGCCTGCATGGATGCACAGACCCTTCCTCAGTGCTGGCGTCTACCTGCATGGATGCCCAGACCCCTCTTCAGTGCCGATGGCTGCCTGCATGGATGCACAGACCCTTCCTCAGTGCTGGCGTCTACCTGCATGGATGCCCAGACCCCTCTTCAGTGCCGATGGCTGCCTGCATGGATGCACAGACCCTTCCTCAGTGCTGGCGTCTACCTGCATGGATGCCCAGACCCCTCTTCAGTGCCGATGGCTGCCTGCATGGATGCACAGACCCCTCTTTAGTGCCAGGGTCTGCCTGCACGGATGCACAGACCCTTCCTCAGTGCTGGCATCTACCTGCATGGATGCCCAGACCCCTCTTCAGTGCCGATGGCTGCCTGCATGGATGCACAGACCCCTTTTCATTCCCCCCCAGTAGTCTGCCTCCAGGGCACAAGCTCTCTTTGTTCCCAGCTGGGAGGCTCTGTGCTCCAAGGAGGGTTTATGAGGAAGCTGCTTGTCCGCTGGCACAGCCAGACCCAGGAGCCTTCATCCATTTCACCTGTGGGCAACCAGCTTGTGACTTTTCCAGCCCATCAGACAGACGCTGTTGCTCCCCATGTGAGCTCCAGGGACGAGGGCTGTGCCTCGTGCCGTGCTGTGGACCACTGGTGTTGGATGGGGACTCAGGCCACCTCCTAGCATTTCTGTTCTGGCCTCTGCTGCAGGGAGGTGGCATGTGGGGGGCAAGGGCTTGATCATCGAGGGGTCATATATAAATCACAGACTCCTACAGCAGTGGGGCTGGAAGGGAGCTGCAGGGGTCCCATCTAGTCCAACCCCCTTCCTGAGGCAGGATCATCCCTGTCCAAACCATCCTATACAAACCCATCATCTAACCTCTTCAGAAAACTACCATCAACCCTGACGCAACGTAAGACATCACACCCGAACCTGCCCCAGGTAAAGCAGGGGAGCCGCATCGTGACATGCAAGAGCAAAGCTTTGGGCTCTCCGTGCCCCCGAGAGCAGAGCACCCCAGGGGACTAGGCAATCGCTACCTGCATTCACTCTCTTTCTCTCTCCCCACAGCCCTGCTGCTGCTGTACGACGTCGCAAACAAAGCCTCCTTCGACAACATCCAGGTGAGTGCCACCCTCCCGGCCCTGCACCGGACGTGGCTGCTGCTGTGGCAGAAATGCCCCAGTCGGTGCCCCTCTCCAGAGATCTGTCTCAGCCAGCCCGAGAGGCTGCTGTTGAATCTCTCACAGCGGGGATCTCGCTCCTTGTCTGCAGACAAAAGCCTGGCGCCTGGGAGGCGATGCTCTGGTCACCTGGGCAGGGGGGGGAAGACCCGGCCCTGCGCGCGGGCCCAGGTAGCCAGGGATGGTAAGACCATGCTAACTGAAATATAGGAATTTGGCAGAAAGGAATGGGTTTCTACAAAAAAATGGCAACCAGCAAGACTCATACATTTTTAGTATCTTTGCATTATGTTAAGGTCGCAGAGTAATGTTTTAAATGCACTATTTCTGCCAGAAGGAAAACTGATTGCTTTAAACTGCAGTTTTCTCCTGATAACTCTTCACAGTTTTAGCGAGTGAGTAACCTACTCGAGATCCGATCAGATATTTAGCTTCAGTAACTCAGATGCGTGTTGAAACGGCTACCTCAGCCACCCTGGTTTGCTCTATGGGATTCCTTTGATATTCCTGTAAGATTTCTATGATATTGCTCTACCTTTTACCCTGTTTCTGCCCTACCCCTTGTAATCAATAAAGTGCTCCTTTGTGACCGGTGTGG